TCATAATAAGAGAACTCGCTTGGTCTTAGCAACAATTAGCACTTCTTAGTCAAACTAGTTGTTCCACTCTCTTTCGGTTGATGTTATAAACAAATTAGTCAACATCAATGGCATCCTCGAGTGTGTTGATCATAAGTTATGAAAAAGTCACCAACTCGAGTTATTAGGTATTGGTCAAAAGTGTATGACTAGACTATTAGCATTAGCTTTATCTACCCCTAGGATGTTCACTCTCATACCACACTCCTCTTCCGTTTCTATCCTCGGGGCTCTAAGTATCGGCATGGTCGAACTATTTGATGAAACTCGTATCAATCATCAATATCATGCTTATTCATCTTGTCAAACTTGTAAAATTGCTTGGCATGAATAAAGGCTTAGGTCATGATAAGCTTCAAGTTAAATCCATTAGCACTCATCATATCAAACAACCTAGATATAAAGATTTTCAAGATTGATCTCTTTCAATCATATTTTGTGTTATCCAATGATAACATGTTTACTCTCCTAGTAGCAACATGATTCGACAAGTGATTGAATTTTATGTTTAGAAGGATGAAGGAATCGTTGAATGCAATCAAACCTTGATCAATAAAATTATGTGCCATTTTTTTAAAGCTCACTCAATTTTCAATATAACGACCATTAGTGCCACTATGATATTTGAACATCTCATTTGACTTATACCAATGTGGAAATGGTGTCCGAAGTAGATTTGGTGTCACATGAGCCACTTCCCTTATGCTAACAAGGTTCTTGAAATGATCATCAAAGGAAATGAAAGAGGTAGCAATACATCATTAAATCTCCCTCGATTAAAATTCCTTGAGGGGTTTTGATTGGATGGCTTTGGTTGGTTGTTGAATTGTTGGGGATTTTGGTAAGGTGTTTGGGAAATTTGGTGTTTGGGAAGGAGTATTTGGTGTTTGGGTTGTTAGTCATACTACATTAGTTGAATAGGCCTTCATGTGAATCATAAACTACACAATAGAGTTAACCATGTCGTTTTAAGAAACATACTCATTGTTATTCCTCTAAGAGTTGTTCCATCGCTCTTTAGAACCGAAAAGAGATTCCCCAATCCGAAGCACCTCCGAGTCTTTTCCCTGGATAAAATTATCATTCTTGTGTCTAGATTTTAAAGTATTAGCCATCCTTCCTAACATGATTGCTTATTCAATTTGATCAATAGTAGACATGAACTCAAAAAAGTTATTCAACCCATTACTCTTTAGGTAGTCATAATAGGGATCCTTGAATATAATGACAAAAAGGGTAACTAACTCTTTTTTTAAAAAAAAGGGTCGGTGAATACTAAAAGTTGCTTCTTGCTATTATTGAGCATATTCTCTTATAAATTTTTTCAAGCCTTTTTCAATTGACTTTAGGCTCGATTTATCAATCATCACCTCCAAGTTAAACTTGTACTATCTTATGAATACTTCTACTAAATCTTTTCACCTCTTGATCTTAGTCTAATCTAAGTCAATCAACTAGCTAAGTAGCGGATCTATCTAGGCTCTTAGAGAAAATGTAGATTAGTAGCTTTTTATCATATGTCACCTCAATCATCTTGTTCAAATAAACCCTAAAGTGAGTCCTAGGATATTAGCTCCTAGTATACTTGAAAAATTCAGGCACTTTGAATTTTTTAAGGATCACCACGTTTAGCATCAAACATCCGTCCACACCAAGTAGAGGTCCATACATATCTATGTCTTCGATAGCTCTTAAGCATTCCTCAATGGCTATGAGATTCTTAATTTCAATTCTTAAGACTATATTTTCCTTTTGTAACTCTTCAATGGTGAAATTGGAAGTAGGCATGACCAACATTTGCATAGTCCGAGGTACTATAAGAGTAGGGTCCGAAGATCTTTGAGTAGATTTAGACATATCCCTTAAAGTAGTATGGTTGACATGATTAGGGGTACCAATAGGCTCTAAGTGGAGCATGCCAAAAGGAGGCACTAGAGTGATAGTCCGAGTGATTAGAGGTGGCATGGTGCTAAACACTTCTAAAGAGGCAAATGATCGGCCAATTTCTTTCGAATGATCATCTTATAAGACATGAGATTTTACAACCTTTTTTCCAATAAAGTAACAAGCCTAGCAACTTCTTCCTTCAATGCATCTATTTCTTTCTAGCGATTTTGCTTTAATAGAGCTCTTTCTTCGTTTTTCATCTTTTCTCTTACTCTAGTGTGGTAAATGTATGGGAGAAGTGTAGTTTTAGCAAGACAATCTATGTTTCTCTAACATAAACAAAAGGCACCATGAACTTGGGATATGAATATTACATTAAAATAAATGACATTCAGGATCTGAATATGGAATAATGTTAATGTGAGGATGATAAGAGGATTCAATTGTTGATTCCTTGACATTTTAAAATTATACCAAATTAGTTTAAAGATGAAATTGGGTTTCATTAGTAATATTTGGGATGTTTTAGCATAGGGATTGCTTCTATTATCAACTAGTTTAAAGATGAAATTGAGTTTCATTAGTAACCCTTAAAAAAGTCCGATCGAGCCTTGAAATCTCTTTGATATTTAGACATTATAAAAATTGGACATAAATCATCTTGTCACCCATCCCGAGACAATCGTGACCAAATTGCTTGGTCAAAGTGTTAATACATCTAACTTGTCTAATGAATTTACTTGGGAAGGATGATCATAAGGTTTGTTTATAACTCATTATGTTAACATGATAAGATCTAAGTCTTAAACGGGGCCTCTTCTAACTCGACGAATTATAATAAAATTGTTAAGGTCACCAAAGGCAATGAGTGATATATAAAAAATCCTCGGTTATCCATCGCATGATGGCAACTAGCCATAAGAATTAATATTTTGTGAGTGCCTACCTAAAATGAAACTCATCGAGACACCACTACTACCTCCCTAAGTCCCGAGAAAAGGGTGTGATATACATTAAAAAAAAATAATAATAATGATGTGTGTAGTACATGCATAGGCATTATTTCATATTTAGTCCTAAAAACTTAAATAAATATACAAACTAGGCTGAAAAATAAAAAAGGTAGAGTCAAAAATACACAACCAAATAATGGCAAACAAAACCCATGAATTTAACTAGGCGGGAAAATTACACAAATTGGCATAAAGTTATAAAAATTCATCATAACATCATAAATAAAATTAAAAAAATTACATACAAAGCCTAACCCTAAGTATGAGTCCCTAGTGGAGTTGCCATTTTATCACATGGCGATGTTGAGGTGAGGCAAGGATTTGGAAATAAGGAATGGGTAGAAATGGAGTCACCACTAAGTATTACGATTAATAGGAAACCATAGGATTAGTCTACTCGTAGTTCTACTTAAGGGGTTGGTTACATGTAGGGAAGACTAAAAATCATCTTATCTCATCCTGCTTAAGACAAATTGCATTGCATACAAATTATGACTTGATTTCTAATTCTTTATGATGAAAATCTATACCTATTTTCTAAAATTTGCCTATCAAACGAGTGATTTAAGACTTGGCCGCTCAAGAACCTCGTCCTCACTCTAAATGAATAGGTATGAAAATACAACTTGGCGACTTGCATGGCTTAAGTGATTTCCATAGAAACATGGCTTAATAATATGCGTGACGGTGCACAACTTTAAAATAGGCAAATAGACAATAACGATAAAAATGATGAATTAGACAAAGCGGACAAAAATGGCAAAAAGATCCCAATCAAAGTTCAAACCGATGTAAATTTGAGCATCACGATTTTCGAGCAAACATGCATAATCGGACAAAACAGGCATAAATGATTCATCGAGACTCGAATCGATGCAACTTAAGGCCTAGTGATTTTTAATCATAAGCAAGACATACATGGTAAAATTTGGCAAAAAGGCAAATTGGTCAAAGGAAAAATTAGCAAAAAGTGGTTCAAATCATAATTTGAGCCGACAAGAATTCTAGCATTTTGATTTTCAAACGTAAACGTGGAAATGGGAAAATTGGCAAGCAAGTTAGCATGCTTGGTAAGACTTAATCGATCATAATAAAAATAGTTCACTTAAATAATGAATCTTTTAACACTCATAATTAATTTTAAAATATTCTCGGATGGCATAAATTGAAATTCAAAGTTTTAACAACTTACCTAACAATCAAAAGACTATGATGAGCCATTGAGATGTTAGTGGAATATAAAATTACTAAAATACCCTTTTGAGGTAGACTCTAGTTTTTTCAACTCGATGAAGATTGATTTATTTTCAGATCAACCAAAGAGGAAAAACACCTACCAATTGAAAAGATGTGGAGGTCACTATAAAATAATAAAAATACCCTTGAAAGTAAAAATTATGAATATGCCCCTATGTGTACACGCCATTCGTTGACGACTCCTCTAACAGCAAAAGAAGTGTAGAGAATAATAGCCATAGCCATAGGAGTAATAGCAAAAGAAGAGAAAGCATTAATGGAAGGCATTGTATGCTCTAATATCTTTTCAAAAAACCATCTCAACTAAAAAATATAAAATTATTAGGTGAGCTTTAAAAAATAATTTATATTACTATCTAATAAATTTCTTTCAAGTAAAAGTCATTTGAGTTTGAAACTTGTACAAATTTACAACTACCTTATACTTAATTATTTCATTTTAATTAGAAGAGAAAATGGTTGTGAGATTCGAATTCGTAACTATTTAGTAATCAAGACTTTGATACAATGTAGAGGATATTATCGAATAGATTTTTATATGTATGAAATATGGTTTTATATTGCTGAGTAATTTATAGAGTTACTACAAAAGAGGATAGCTTTTATTTTATGATAACTACTAGCCTATCCCAGTCGTAAGTTCAGTCTCCATTCTAATTATTCAAAGATAAATTCTCCTTGGCTATATATAGTGTCCTAACAATTTTAAATTCAACAACACAGGTAGCATGTCCTATCATATTCTTAAGAGCATGAGAGGAATCAAATTTTCATCAAATCCAATTTGCACTATTATAGGTTCTTTCAATTGACAAACTTAGTAAACCAGTGTAGCATGTCACGGTGAGCTTCTTCAGCAATCTTGACAGCCGGTTCATCCTCGACATTGTAACGAACTGTCCATCCATGACCGACACCAGGGAATATTTTCACATGGCTATCAAACTGCAAAATATAGGAACCGGGTTTGATAGATCAAGCATAAACATAAAATCCAGAGCCTCAACAGTAAGGGAAACAGAAGACTCCTCTTTAGCTTTTGGGTTAAAACATGCCTTTCAAAGAGACAAGTCCCTTTCCTTGAATCCAAAATGTTAAATCATAGTCAATTACTACAAGTCATGAGATGAAAAAAGTTTGAAAATATTTTCTCCTTAAACCATTGAACCTGGATAATTGCCAATCTTGAGGTTGAGGACACATTACCTGAGATTTTGCAGATAAAAACTCTCCAAATTCTTTCAAATGTTCTGCCGGGAAAATATGGTCATTTTCAGCTCCCAGAAAAGAAATAGGAATCTTTACCTCTGGAACAAAATAATATGCCATCAATTGTAATGCATAAATATTAAGCACTCCCTATTTATCCTAAACCATTTCAAGAGAAGGAAGGTGAAACTAAACATAAGAAGTTATAATTACCAAGAAACAAGGGAAGATTGAAAAGGGAAGAACCTTAATTACCTTTAATTTCATCAATGGTAAGTTTACCAGGATGCAATATAACTGCAGCCTGAATATCATTGGAACTGGCTAATTTCACTGCTACGTTTCCTGAAACAAATGTTAGCGTAATCAAATATCACAAGGCAAGTTGATTTCTCTAGTCCTTTGGATAAGATCTTGCTCTAATTTGAGCAAGGTAATAGCTAAGAGGGAAAATGACTTACCTCCCCAGCAAAAACCTGCAGCACCAATGGAATTCACACCTTGACTTTTTAAAGCAGCAATTACCAACTTTGCATCTTCATGTCCTTTGTCCTACAACAGATCAATTCAGATTAAACTAAAAACTAGTTCTTTTTCAATGTATTTCACTATCATGTCATTCCACAAATTGTATCTCCAATATTACTCTTGACACTAACCGTGGGATGGGCATTTTTCCATGCCTCTCTATCAAAATTAGGCTTGCTCAAATTAGCTGGATCGCCATAAAAAAAATCAGGAACCACTACAAAGAATCCAGCAGCTGCAACTTTGTCTGCGAGCTTCCTTCAGATCAAGAACAACGAGACTAAATAATTATTTTGATGAGATCAGTAATAATTGTTAATATTAATTAACCTAGGAGTTGTTTATATCAGGGCATGTATTCTTGTACAAGAACATAAGCATTGCAAAGCCTGGATTTATTTCTTGAATATTATTGGTTTGTGTGATAATGATTCTCTGTTAAACAACAAGTCAAGGTCGAGCCAATGGATTGAAATTAAAAAACTGGCCATAATGAAACTACATATATAGCTAACTTGATTCTAGCAAATGAGAGAATTATGTTAGCTTTCCAAATACTTAGTTATACCATCATCTAAGTTTATTATTCAATTAAAAATCCATTCTTTCAAAATGTAGTGCAAAAATTTAATGGATCATACCTCAAATTCGGAGCTTCATAACCTGGAAAAATATGTTTAAAGATAACAAGCCGATCAAATACTAACTTTCTAAACAAACACCACCAAAAAAACACACTCTTCTACAGAAAATAGAAAATCCATCTCAAAATCAAACCTAACATAAGCTAAGAAAAAGGAAATAGAAGATTAAAAGAAAAACAAAGAATGGCTTAGTGGGCTCTTACCAAAAGCATCAGAAATGAAAAGGATGGCAAGCTTGGAATCTGAAGGACCAGTAACATAGGTTTTAAGGCCACCAAATTCTTGAACTGTCCCTACTCCATAATCTGGATTCAGCTTTGGTGGGTTCTCAAAACACTGAGAACTTGACATGGTTGACGATCAACTGCTACACTTAGAAGACTTCGGACTAGGAAATGAGTGAGCTAGACACAGTACGTACTTGCAAGGGAAACGGAAAGGAGAATCAAAAGGCTTTTACAATAAGATAGTAAAGGGTTGGCTTGTGTTACGTCATTCAGTACGTCAAAGAGGAGTTATTGGACGTCATTACATACGTAAACGAGGGCTGCTAGATACTATTACCTTCAACCCTGGGGGAGTAGTATCTGCTGAAGTCTATTCTCTCTTCCTTAATTAGCTTGTTAAGTTCGAATTTGAAGTGAGTTTTTTTTTTTTTTTATTGGTAGAATTTATTTATTCTAGATATTAAACTAATGGGAAAAAAATGTATTCTTAATGTTATCTAAAAAGTCAATTTAATCTCGATTAACGTATTAAATAATATGAAAATATATATCTCTTGTTATTGAATTAAAATAACAAATATTGTATTGTCATATTTTAACAACACATATCAAAATTTTCTTGAAATTAGTATATATATATATATATGTGTGTATATATATGTGTATGCTTCTTAAATATTAAATATACTAGCAAGACGGCAACAGAATCATTTTTAAACTACCATACTATATACATCAAGTACACTACAAAATAATATTGAATTACCGATGGTCTAATTTAGATAAAACCATCGCTAATGTAATTTAGCGACGGTTTTGCGATGGTCAAAAAATCATCTATAAAATACTAGTCACTAAATTTTTGCGACGATTTTTGGACCGTCGCTAATTTTGCAACGGACTAAACCGTCAAAACAATAAAAAAAACGTCGCTAAATATGATAGTAAATAGAGGAAATATTTACGACGGTCCAAAAACCTATCGCTAAGTCCATCTCAATTTAGTAATAGAATTAGCAACAGTTTGTTTCCCATCGCAAATATTTTAAGATTAGCGATGGTACAAACCGTCGCTAATCATCTTATTTTCAAAAAAAATTACCCAAAATTTAAATATCTAAAATTAACCAATTGCTATTTAAAAAGTCTACTAAATATCCAAGACATAATATTTTAAAATTTGATAATTATTAATGTAAACTCGTATTAAAACGTAATAAATATTATTCAATTATTAAATTTTTGAAAACGAGTATAAATTTTGTTGTTATTACAAGAAAACATGATAGCTAGGAGAAATTGGTAGGATTGTCACTCGGAGGTTGGGTGGAATCGTCTAGAGGTTGGGTGGAGTCGTTGTCGGTCTTAGGCATGGCGAATGAACTACCACCTTGCTGAAAATGTTACTTGGAACATCTGCTCGCATCCGTGACATCATCGTGTATTGCTATCAAGTTTACTCTTTCAACTTATTTGTTGTAACCAACAACAATGTGATAGTACCTCTATAGGTCATGGATCTCTGTCGTATTTGCACATGTTTGATCATGAAATTTCTTTCGTTGCGCCTTATCACCGAGCATGGAACCATGAAGTTGTCGAGCTTGAGGTTGTACTCACATTAGAGTAATAATGAGATGCGTGTGACTCAAGTCCGTACTTTCTCTTCCTCTTACTATCTCCTCCACCAACGGACTTTCTAAAAATCTCATTAATGTTGACGTCGATGGATGTATTCCCCCTCGACTGTCGACTAGCAACCTCCTCCTCATTTATTAATCTTTCTACGATCTCTCGCATAATTGTGAAACACATAATATTAAATAATTATGTGAAATAACATTATAAATTAATATATATAAAATAACGTTATAAACTACTAACTTGCATCGATAAGTCTTGACCGTTGATCAACAATGACATACTAATCATCAACCTTTCTCTAATGAGTCCTTAAGAAAACCTCGTGAGGATCAAGTTCACGACCCAACACCTCATGCTGAAACCAATATACGTAAATGTATTCAATATACTCAAATATTTAATTAATTATTTTGGATATAATTATAAAAAATTATCATTATTATTATTATTATTATTATTATTATTATTATTATATCATGCGTATTGTGTGCTCTTTATGGCCGATCGATTCCCCCATATGTCTTGAAAGACCGGCTCCAACGCCACCAGTCTCGCTCCCATGGTTCTACACTATCATCTCAAATCGGGCAATGGCCTTTAGTTTTGCCCATTTGATAGTCCATGCATCCCATATATCCTGTGAGATAAATGCTGGCTTTGGTCTTCTCCGAGAAGACTAAGAAAGTCGAATACGACTTTTGTGTCAGACTTTTCCACGCTTTCTTAATTGTGCTCTCATTGATATCATCATCCCACGTAAATGATTTATGAAGAAAAATAATAATATTCATTAGTAAATTTATTTGAATATTATTATTTGTTAATTAAATATGAAGTTATGTAATAAATTAATTAAATAAATTAGTACCTTAAACTCCTTCCAGTAGAAGTTTTTTATTTCGAAGTCATTTTCTTCCACGTCCATCCGGAAATATGAACATACTTATGGAATGTCTTATAGATCGTGTGAGAGCAAACATGAGAGGAATACAACCTATGAAAATAGATATTAATTTAACAAATAAATGAATACATAATTATGGTAATTAAAAAAATATTTTATAAAATTAAGCATAAAACATACTCATTGTGACCAACGATAATAACCCTAACTCGCGGATCGAGCGTGGATCCGATAGGTTCCGAAGCCGATGGATGAGGGATGTTCTACGACTGGACGTGTTCAAAAACAGAATGGTTGTCTTGTTGTGATGATGAGGACACTAACAATGACAAAGGAAAAAATATGGGGGACGTGGAGGTTCATAATAAGGATACGGCTCGAGCCGAGATATGTCGAGCCTCGAAGGGTATGTCGAGGGGGCACTAGAAGAGTGGATAAGAGGCATGTCCATATAGGGCCCATCCGACCAGAAAAGGAATGAGAATGGCATCCACATCCGTAATCACTACCCGAATCGATATCCGAATCGCGATCCTCACTATATGACATAAGCCAATGCATCCTAGAACGTCCACTACCTCAAAACAGTATGACCTACACATTATTAAATTCATTAGTATTAAAATAAAATATTCATTATATAATACTAGCATATAACATTCATATTAATCTAAAAAATTTCAAATATATTTATTTAACAAATCACATATATTAAACAACATGAACACATAAACATATATTTAAATATTATCTTAAAAAAGTACATATAAACTATGTAGGACAACAAAATCATATACCTAATTTTTTTTAAAGAACGAGTGATGGTACCCTAGAGATATATTGAAATAACGTAAAAAATTATATGAGGGGACAAAACCAGCCTAACCTAATAAGCTAGGAGGACAAGGTTACTCGAACCCTTAATTTGCTACTCGTAATTACATAAAATCCATATGGATAATTTGGCAACTAAATATAAAAAATAATATTACATATTCTAATATGATCTACCATATCGTTAATCGGTATCATGGTCATCATTGTCACATTATTCATCTAAGTCTTCGTCAACATCTATTTTAAACTCATCTTCATTCTCTACATTAATTTCACTCTCTTCTAAATCTAGTAATGCTCCATTTGCATCATTCAATGATCGACATTCGTTGTCATCAACTTGGATGACATTGTGTTGGCCTTCCATTTCATTTTCTTGAAAGGATTTGATATTTGTTTGGTCGATGATAACGGACGATTCGGCACATCCATCGTCGGTCCGGGTTTTACCTTACATACCGCCAACCAATCGCATCCGATGCATTTCTATGTAAGATATATTACATAATACATCCGATGCAATTGTGATGCTAGTATGAAGGGATCAAATCTATTTAAAGACCTATGACTATTGACCTCCACTAGTCCGTAATGATCATGAACTCTTATACCGATGCCAAGTGTAGTATCATACCAAGCACATTTGAACAAAACGAGTTTTCTTGATTGGTAAGGCGGTATACTCAAGTTCAAATATATTAGTCAACCTACCATAGTAGTTATTTCCTACCACACCATAGCTAACTCATTTTACACACACTCTACTACACATTGATGCTCTCTTCGAACCATGAACATCGGTGTGGAACTTATACCTTTTTATAACGTATCCCGAATACGACTTAGTTGTTCGCAATGGTCCTTTTATCGGATCTTCAATGTAATGATCTGTTATCGTATTGGGTTGTGCATTACTTGCCTATAAAGCCCGGATCTATTACTTAATGGTAGTATAAAATTTGATAAAACTATTTTTTTCATAATTAAAAAAAAAAATCTTTACTTTAATTTCTTATACTTATATATCGACGGAACCGGGATGCAAAATTAGTTTCAAGCCAAACATCTACCTCGTTCTTCGATATGTCGGGATCAATTTCATAAAATTGGATGATAAAATATCCGAGAAAGAAAAATATTCTTATTATATGTTATTAAAATGATTGATACTTAATGAAGTAATGTATAGTAATATTTGACAATTATAGCACTTACTCCGTGTAAGGTGTCACCTTATCACGAGTTCAACAAAATATAGGTATGAGATGTATTCTTTTCTTGATATGTCGGGACATGTGATCTTGCTCGATCAAGTGGTCTACCTTCGAGTTTGAATATTGGAAGCATTCGTTCAATGTCGTCGGTTGGTTCTCAAAGACACTCAAAGTTTCGAGGCACTTTTTGATGCCTAGTGTATACATGAGGCTCGAAGTAATATGAATAGAACATTGAAGCTTCCTCAACTAAATATGTGTTGCATATTGACCCTTCGACTTTAGCTTTATTCTTAACATTTTTTTTTTAATTTTCAAAGGTACCTATAATATTATAAATGCATTATACTTAAAAAATATATATTAAAGAGTTAATTAATAACAAATGCCAAAAAATAATAAAAATATTTACCTTTTAAATGGATACATCCATCGATATTATACTAGTCCTCGCTATTTTTGCTTCATATGCCAAGTGTACGGGAATATGCTCCATAAAGTCGAAAAAACTAGGTATGAAAATAC